AACGTGTGATCATGGACATACATGCAGGCAAAACACCCACACGTAAAACAAAAACAAATCTATCTTAATGAAGAGTCAAATGCAATGATTTGGAAAATTTAGTGTCTACAGATGGCAAGAGAGATTCTCCTAGCTAAATTGTCACCACCTGAGTCCTTCATGCCTTCTGCAGTATAAGTAGCCCCTGTGTGTGTAAGTGGCCCTTGGACTGAAGTGGACTAGTCATTTCCTTCCTCACAGCTTCTATAGCAAGTGGCTGAAGAAGTAGAAGGGTCTTCTTTTGTAGGTAGGAGAGGTAGATGCACACCAGCAAGGAGGTAGGTGATGGGAGCCGGTTTTGCATGCTACCTGCTCCAGGATGAGGTTATGAAGAAGAAGCTCAGGAGAACTGTCAAGGGACAAGGCAGCGTGGCCATTTAATTTGCTTCCATTTAGCTGCTCATAGTGCACCACACCTCAACCTCCAGGGAGGACATGCAGGAACTGTAGCTTTTGAAAAAGTGAAGAAGTGCTGTGAGTAGGGTTCTATCAAGGAACTCAATTATTTTGTCTGTGGTGGCCTGGCCTTTGCCAAAGTTTTGTTTCCTTTGGTCTGACCCCATTGGCCTCACTGGGAGTCTAACTCAGCCAAGTCTCCAGTGTTCCCAGTGGGTTGCACATGGCAAATGGCCATGTTTAGGCTGTGATTCAATGCTCCAAGTCTCCACAGAGAGGACTACACTGCAATCTTCAGACTTGGTTGTTTGGTGTCCTTTCTACTTCCCAGAGGCCCATGGCTCTGTTTTTGTTGTCCAAGAGTTTTCTAGTGATTTTAGAAGCAGGCCATTTGTTTTCATCATGGGCCTCGCCTTCGTGTGTGGACTGGTTATCCTTATGACTTTCTCCTCAAGAGTTCTGAAGAGTCTGTAGCATGCCAATAGCAAGTTTTTGATGCGCTAGCACTACTATCCTTAAAATAGTTTCATATGTCATGTTAATTATATATAAAAATTTCATAGATAAGCTATACCTCAGACCATGTCCTAATAAGGTAATCATAGACACATATTACTATTCACTTAAAAGAAACTAATTCAAGAACAGATATGCTCTAAGTCTAAAATGCATACTGGATTTTGAAAAAAGAAAAAGAAACATAGTAATATTGATGATCAGTTGAAATTAATGGTTTTGTTATATGGACTTAAACAAAATGTTAATGTAATTAATTTTGTTTGTTTTGCCATTTAAACATGTTGATTAAGATTAAATAAAAATGATAGATAAATGAGTAAATTATATACATTGAAATAACATCAACAAGAAACTAAAAGTATATATAAAACTGATGAATTTCACGAAGATAGTTATGAAGTCCAGAGAAAATGTTTGTGTTTCTACAAATAACTTGGAATTATTTTTCCGGCTTATATTGTGGCCTTCTCATTACTAATGGTCAGTTTCACCCTTGTTTAATAGTGTTTTCTATTGTTATTGCTTCTAACTTTTTCTGATGCATTTATTTCATTACCATATAATTAATTGTTATAACTGTTTGCACTTATCATGGACAAGATGATGCTTTGAAGGCTATACACACTGCAGAATGGCCAACTCTAGCTAGTTAGCACTATTCCTTTATTCACATAGTTATCATTTTTGTGATGAGAAAATTTTATGTCCATTTAAAAATATTTTTAAAGCTCACAAGTGAGCCCTTGTCCCATGCAGTCCATACTTCTCTTACTAGGGGAACCACATGAAGCATAAGCTGTCCATCTGCTACATCTGTGGGGGCCCAGGTCCAGTCCATGCATGGTCCTCGGTTGGTGCTTCAGTCTCCACAGGCCCCTCTGGGCCCTGGTTACTTGGCCCTGTTGGTCTTCTTGTGGAACTCCTGTCACCTCCAGGTCCTTTTCTCTTTCCTCCCACTTTTTCCATCCTGATGTAACTTTATGAGCTGGAGTAGATGGGAAAGGGAGCTCCCCTTTTCTGAAGAACAGAAGAGGAAAGAGCAGGGAGACAGGGTGGGAGGGTGACACTGGGAGTGGAGGGTGAATGGAGCTACAACCAGGATACAAAGTGAATAAAAAAATAATTAATTTAAAAATTTTTTAAAATAAAAACTTTTAAAAATATTTTTAAGAACATGATATATTGCTATCTATAGTCACTCTTTTGTATGCTAGATTTCTGCAACGCATTCTTCCTAACTGATATCTTTCAACATCTCTTTAAACCATGTACATCATTTTTTGATGAAAAATGGTTTTGTGTGTGGTGTTGGTGAGCAAAATCCAGGTCTCACACACCCTAGACAATTTCTTTGCCATTGAGCTACAGCCCAGCCCCATTTTGATAGTTTAAAAAATTCACTAATGCATGCGATACTGTTTGTAGGATAGATTTCTGTTGAGCATTTGGAAAACTTTCATAAACCTCCATGGGTGATGCCTAATATGCCAGTGAAAGGGTGCTATTTCTTCCTAAATTGGCCAGAACTGATCAGCTGTTGAACTTAATCCTGACACCACTGTCATGAGCCTCCTCTAAGAAACTGTTTTCATATTTATGAGCTAGAGGACTTGTGGCTGCGGATCCCTTTGGTTTAACAGTGCTCACTTGCCGATCCACCTCATTGGCTGCTGGGGACCAGCTCCACCAGAGGCCAGGGCTTGAGAAAGGATGTGGCAGGCATTGTGAGGAAGTTGCTCTGGACAGCAGCTTGAATCTCCAGCCCTAGGAATGTTTTATCTGTTACTGCCCTCAGGAGGCAGCTCACAGGAGGGGCTGACCTCCCAGGCCACACAGCTTACATCCACAACAATGATGACATCAACCTATATCTGCATTTCAAAAATATCTAATACGTGACTATTTAACCAACATAAATCAAAACATCCATGAAAAATCAGAATCATAAAATTTAATGATCACAGATCAGCCTGTCTCTGAGATTAAAATGTAGAGAGATATGTGCTACCATGCCCTAAAACTTAAGAACTTTTATTAGAAAGATTTCTTTCCTTCAGTTTATTTCGCACCAGTTCGAATTGTTCGGGAAGGAAAATGAGTAGCTCCTGTTGTCTACCGAGGGCGTGGCACACTGGGAGACATACATGCAGCGTTAATTGCCTCCTGGCTTCTTCAGTACATACGAGTAACATGGTTTTTCTCTTTATGAAAGTCAGATCATTAAATTTGTCAGACTGATGACCTTATTAAATGTGGTACTTCTGAAAGGCTTTGTTCCTCTTTTAATCAAGCTTATGTTTTATTTTCACATCTTCTAAGAGCACTGTCAGCTTCCCCTTCTAGGCGACCCACACAGACCATTGCCACCCCCCCACCCCCACCCCCACACACCCTGCCCTTCCTGTCAGGGGTTTTCTGAGAAGATGTTTCTTTCACTTCTACCTTTGCCAGGAGGTTGTTGTTTTGTTATTTTGATTTACTAGTAAATTTTTCAATTATTTTGGGCTTCAGGGTTTGGAAAACAAAAATTGAGAAAACCTATGGTCTCTGTTTCTCTGCCCTGTCTGCATCCTGCTGTGATGAACACAGAGAGGACCACCTTCCTCAACAGGGAAAAGGGTCAGGAGAGAGGAAAGAATTGTCATCCAGAGTTACTGTTTCATGGTTACTCTCTACATGTTCACACATTCAGACAATTCAGGGACTATGTTTAATCCCTTGATGCTTGAATTGGTTTATTTGGACTGTCTACTCATTATCCTCATCTGTGAGGTTTCTTCCAGATTCCATACCCCAACATGCCATGCATTCTCAGACACTCTCCTATCTGAAAACAAGGCTCTGAAGCGGGACTTTCCAGGCTCAACACTTGCTTAATAGGTGTGAGACCTTGGATGAACACTAAATGAGTATAAATGTCTGGTTATGTATCTTAAAAATAAAAGTAACAGTATCTATCTCATAGAGTTGTTGTAAAAAGTAAAGATGACCATGCATTTCACGTGAATAACCCGGAATTGGGAAGCAGTGAACTGAGACAATCGTTGCTCTAGACTAGCAGTACCATTGTCAACAGTTTTAGCATCACTATCACCGTAACATCACTCTATAGTGATAAGAATGGTGAACGGTTTTCTGATTTGTGTATTATTGGTACCTATTTGTTTATCCAGTTCCACTCTTGGTACAATTATAAAACTTCTTAAAATCCAGTGTTGAAGACTGAACATAGTATATTGTAGATACCTAGCCTGTGCTGATACCAGCTAGCGTTCTTTGGGAAGAATGAACCCCAACTAAGAAGTTGCCTCCAACAGATTGGACTCTAGGCAAGACTGTGGAGCAATTTTTTTTCTGGTTAATTGTTGATTTACGAGGTTACAGCTCATGGTGGGTGATGGCACTAGCTAGCATAAATAAGCAGATGGAGAAACCTAGTAAACATCATTTCTCCATGGCTTCTGCATCAGTTCCTGCCCCCAGATTCCTGCTCTGCTTAAGGTCCTGCTCTGACTCCCCCTGATTATGAACTGTGATGTGGAAGTGTAAACAAAACAAATCCTTCACCCACGTTGATGATGAACTGTGATGTAAAAGTGTAAACAAAACAAATCCTTTCTTCCCAGGTTGCTTTTGGTCATTGTATTTTATCATAGCACTAGAAATTCTAACTCAGCTACAGCTTTTTTTAATTTAAGGTTGAGATGGGTCTTATTAAGTTGCCAGGCTGGCTTCAAGCTTACTATGTGGCCCAGGAAGGCCTTGAACTTCAGATCCTCCTGCTTCAGCTTTCCAGGTAGCTGGGATAACAACTGTGCTTTCAGGAAAACATTCTTATAGAATCCAGTACCGCTGAATTCAATCCATACCCTCATATCTTTGCTTTATGCAACTATTACACACTTGGGAAAACAGAAAGTAATGAAGTAATCTTTTATGACCACAAGTGTTAGATTTAGCTTTTAAATTTTTTCTTAAAAGCTCTGCGTGGTGTATATGCTTGTATATTCATACAAACCATTCTTTGAAAAGGTTAAGAAGTCAACATGGAAAGAAGAAATCAAACTGATGTCTCAGGGTTCCTCCTCCTGGGCCTGCCCATCCCCCCAGAGCACCAGCACCTGTTCTATGCCCTGTTCCTGGTCATGTACCTCACCACTGTCCTGGGAAACCTCATCATCATCATCCTCATTCAACTGGACTCCCATCTCCACACGCCCATGTACTTGTTTCTCAGCAACTTGTCCTTCTCTGACCTCTGCTTTTCCTCTGTCACAATGCCCAAGTTGCTGAAGAACATGCAGAGCCACGTTCCATCCATCACTTACGCAGGCTGCCTGGCACAAATGTACTTTTTCCTGCTTTTTGCAGACCTTGAAAGCTTCCTCCTTGTGGCCATGGCCTATGACCGTTATGTGGCCATCTGCTTCCCCCTGCACTATGCTATCATCATGAGCCCCAAGCTGTGTCTCTGCCTGATGGCACTGTCTTGGACACTGACCACAGTCATCTCATTGGCACACACCCTGCTCATGGCTCGACTCTCTTTCTGTGCTGACCATGCGATCCCTCACTTCTTCTGTGACATGTCAGCTCTTCTGAAGTTAGCCTGCTCTGACATTCAGATCAATGAAGGGCTGATATTTATCTTGGGAGGACTTGTCATTATTGTCCCATTCCTGCTGATATTTTTATCTTATGCACGAATAGTGTTCTCCATCCTCAAGGTCCCCTCTTCTAGAAGTATCCGCAAGGCCTTCTCCACCTGTGGTTCCCACCTGTCTGTGGTGTCTCTCTTCTATGGGACAATCATTGGTCTCTACTTATGTCCATCAGCTAATAACTCAACAGTTAAGGAAACTGTCATGGCTGTGATGTACACAGTGGTGACTCCCATGCTGAACCCCTTCATCTACAGCTTCAGGAATCAGGACATAAAGGGAGCTTTAAAAAGGGTGTTTTCAAAGCAGACGGCAGTTTGTCTCTGAGACAGTGACTCTAAAAATTAAAATATGTTTTCAAATATAGGCTCAATTTCAAATAGTAACACATGCAGGGGCTTTTATCAAGTAGATAGAGTTTATCATGCCTATTAAATTTACCACTGTACTTCATGTGTGGCATAACTTAAGCTCTGACACACCCTGAGTGCTCCTTTATTATTTTTTAAGTCTGAATAAACACTAATGTTGGTGTACAGTGCTCAAAAATGTACAGTTGTTTCCAGTTCCCTAAAAGCAGCTTCAACTACTCAGTGACTTTGGTACTTTGCCTCTGACAAATACACTTATTAAATAAGTACTGTTTTCAACCCAGTGTGCACATTCCCTCAAAAAATGCATTTGTTCCGTGGAGTCATCTTTCTTGTTTTAACTTCCTTATGGGTTCTTTCTCATGTGGCTGATTAAAAACTTATCAGTTCTCATCAAAAGTGGCTGCATTGTCCTCTACTGTGGCCTGGTAAGGCTGCTCCCCCCTCAGGGGGAAGTGATCAACGAGCAGGCCAATCAGATTATGTCAGAGGCAGTCCCTCTTCCCATTACTAGGTAACCCACTTGGACACTGAACTGCCATGGACTACACCTGTGCAGGGGTTCTAGGTTATCTCCACAAATAGTCCTTGGTTGGAGTATGAGTCTCTGGGAAGTTCCCTGTGTTCAAATTATCTTGTTCTGTTGCTCTCCTTGTGGAGTTCCCCCCTTAGTAAGTTAGCTCTTACTAAGATCAGAAAGGAGAGGAGAACCTCCCCTATCAGTGGACTTGGGGAGTGGCATGCATGCAGAAAGGGGAGGGAGGGTGGGGTCAGGAGGGGAGGAGGGAGGGGCTTATGGGGGGATACAAAATGAATAAAGTGTAATTAATAAAAAATTAAAAAAAACTTATTTAATGATTATATTCCAAAACTATGATTTCTTTTCGAATTCATGGCACCAATAATTTGTCAGCTAATGGTGAGCACTTCCGTTGATGATGTATGTCTACATATTGGATGGTAATTCCTTTTTTGAATTGAAGTTGCGTGATCTAGAATGAGCCTTCCAGGCCCACTATATGTCGCTTATTTTACAAATAGTAAAATGGCGACCCATGGTGTAGGCTAAGGTAGTATGAATACTGATGGGGCTAGAATCTATTTATTACTCCTAGGTTTATTTTTTCTCCCTTATATGTTGAAATAATGTGATGTTCTTTTTTTTTTTCTTTAAAAAAAAAGTACAAACATTTTGAAGATAGGTGATTGCTAATTCCTAAAATGAACAAAGCATTGCTCATTGCTTAACATATTATTATTCTAGATGATTTCTTGACTCAAGTGCATCTTCATATTTCCTAAAATATGACTTGAAAAAGCTACCTTTGAAAAGAAATCTTTCTAATAATGCCAGTATGTCTTGATTTTTCCAAAGGCACACTGACCACTGAAATGGTGACTACCTGCTTGAAGGTCGAGGCAGCAAAAGCGAAAGGTCTCCTGCAGTTCTATCCCCTTCCCGATCAAAGCAGTTAAAAGTTGTTATCCTAAATCTTGTCTATGCACAGACTAGGAGTGTTTATAATAAATAAGTAGAGGTAAATTCTTGTCTAACTGCTTTTGCTAAAAATACACTGTGATGGCAGCATTTCACACAGGGACTTGTAGTGGCTTTTTTTCTGTTCCGTTTTGAGACAGGGTCCCTCTGTGTTACTCAGGCTGGCCTTGGATTT